TCTCTGAGCTGATTAGCGCATTTGCAATTTTATTGTTACAATATAACACGTTTTCACCTTAGGGACGAATTTCATTTAGCACACAATATCAGCTTCATCGTGTTGCATTTCTAAACAATTGTTTCACTTGAAATCGATCAATCGCTATATGGCATTTGCATCTCCATGGAAACGTTGCTTAATTAAATTAAATGTATATGTTGTATAGATTATAGAACTATACGCGTAAAGTAACATGTAAATTCATAGCAGTGTTATTTCTGCCACTCACATTTCTCTGTAATTACCCTTTAACCCTAGCTTTGCTATTCACCAGTGTAGCTTCGTTCTCCATCCAGTCACACTGTCCTGACAAAAGCTGACCAGTCCTAACAAAAATCCCTTAATGCTGAGCGTCTAGCAAGGCAGCTGACAGTACCATTTTATAAATAGAATAAGGATAGAAGATGAACATAGCTGTATAGAATATGGGTATGTAAGGAGATGTACCAAAACTCAGCACATTTACCCACATAATTCCAGAATACCATACCTCTAAATTAATTGCGACTGGAAAATGAAACTACACTTTAAGAATCAAGTATTTACCATTTTATTAAATTTAAGACAAAACTATGCAAGTTTGGTTAAAATGCTATAAACAAAATGAAATCTAGATATGAACTAATTATATATTCATGCACCCTGCTTTAGTGCTTAGCGAATATTTATAGTTAATGGCATTGCTTCAGCAGCTGATGTTTTTTGTAATTAATTTTCAAGCGTCGTGTCTCTATAAATGCTGTAAAATAGCATATTCATTATTAAGTGATATTTAATATATATATATATATATATATATATATATATATATATATATATATATATATATATATATATATATATATATATATACGCCCGATCTTAAGGTATTTGTTGCATACAGAACAATGTCCTCCAATGGATGCGTTCTCAGCTAGATATTCATTTGTTGGCATTTTCAACGTTTCTGAAGGTGCAAACACGCATTGACAGGAGTTATGTCAGGATAATAAAATGACATAGAAACTATGGTATATTTATTTGTGTGTACGTGTGTTTGTGTCTGTGTGTGACGCATGTAGTCTCACTCCTCTTTGATAGATGCATGTTGTATAATTTTCACTAGCCAAAGCCAACAGCGACTCATTGTAAATTACATTTCAGTACTCACCGTAGCAGTCTTAACCACATATCCACAAACATTATTAGCGTACCTCGTTAAATTGCTTCTTTGATTTGCAATTAAGTGTAGAAAATTTAAGATGTATCATTTCTTGAGCGTTTCTAAACGAGGCATTTCTTATAATGCAGTAACTGCACGATCTTACACAATGGCCTCTCTGATTGCACCATTAGGTTTTGAAAAGGTCTGCTGGAGGTCTGGAATTCCATTTACCCCTTATTATCCTACTCACGGTATTTATTCATGTTGTGTGACAGTCAGTCGCTTGCAATTTCCGCAGAGTTGTGCCGATCTAGAGAATACAGAAGGAATTAATAGTTGTATTCCCGTTACTAGCATTGCGTTGAGACTTCAAGTAATTTAAGTATACTGCACAATTATTACATATTCATATCTTCATAATAAATGTAACTATCAAGTTGGTCGGCATCGTTGCTGATTTCTTTATTGATAGAATACGCTTACATATTATCATTTTCAGCATTATTATTTATGATATATGTCTGAATGGTAAGTCACAACTCATTGCTGATAAATACACAAGGATGATGAAAAACATGTTTTTCATTGTGAAGACGACATGTTTGTTTATTCGTTTATTTGTTTATTGTTTATTATCTTAAAAGATATCCGCAACGTCCTAAACATTTCATCTCAGATTACAATGGCCAATAATTTCTTTATTCGCAAATGCATTAGTATATGGCGGGATTGCTTTTAATTCGTTGCTTTAATGAAAGGGGTTTATGTGGCTTTCTAGAACCTTGTCAAAGACAGCCACCTTTCAATCATCTGAATGTGAAGCATCTGTCTTTCAAGTTCAATGAACATAAACAATTGTAACACTATCGGACAAATTGTATTTGTGTATTGATATAGATTTGCTTCGAAATGAATAAGATTTGCTTTGCAGGTGTATCAAACATGATAATGACAATAACAAAGTAAACCTGACCTATATGGGGTACGGAGAAGCATCTGTCTTTCAAGTTCAATGAACATAAACAATTGTAACACTATCGGACAAATTGTATTTGTGTATTGATATAGATTTGCTTCGAAATGAATAAGATTTGCTTTGCAGGTGTATCAAACATGATAATGACAATAACAAAGTAAACCTGACCTATATGGGGTACGGAGAATATCATTGACATTAAAATCATACTTATTATAAAAGCATTGTACATGTAAACAATAAAAATTATATTCAGTGTAGTATGTATATAAATTATAATATAAAAACTGATATCCAGTCAAATAGGTGTATAACTCTTAATACAGAATAAGATATACCATCGAAAAGGTACATACCTGATAATACAGAGAATGACATCCAGTCTAATATGGATAGAACTAATAAAAGGAAAATTGATGTCCAGTCGAATGGATATAGAATTTACAATACATCTAAAGCATATTGTGGAAAGAAGCAGAAATTAATTATATTATTCGTACCAAAAATTAAGTGCATTTTAGTCTTACTTGCTTGAATAGTCGTAGATTTAAAAAAGAGGTTTCCGTTTCCGTGAAGTCAAGATTGAAAAGGAGATTGCATTTCCCCAAAGTGTATGGATTCCAAAGTGGATTGCATTTATGTTCAAAGTTCTGATATTCCTTTATAAAAGAAACCAAATATGATGATTTAGACGTTACTTTTTTGCCAACTAATATGTTTAGTCATTAATCTAGAAGACTTAATAAGTTACACATTATGTTGTTATTTAAAGTGTTTATGAAAGAGAGAACTTTGGGTCAAATTACGCACAAACATGCATCATCTGATAATGTAGCTAACATGATCAAAATATTTGATACTGGCAAATAAACCACTTTAGCTGTTGTGAAGTGAAGATTTAAACGTTAAATTGTTTTCGTAATGTATCTCTGAGTGACCATTTTATTTCGAGAGCTCAAATTATAACGTATTTCAATATTTTAACTATACCCAAAGTAAAATGCTTATTTTGCCTTCTGTGTTGTGTGTCATTTTTTCGACTGATTCTACAGGGCTTTTTCTACAACCAAAAAAAATCTCTGACATCTAGAAATATTACCAACCTAATTTCTTTACAATAGAGATCTTTGAACGAACCTCATCCTTTTTGTGGTGCGATAAATTTCCTATTTCGACTCGTATCTGAATGGAACACAAATGCTCTTCGAGTGCAGCCTGTCAAAAACTCCATTAGGAAGTTCACTGAACCCACTCAGCTTTCTAAATTAGGTCGTAGATTTCTATACTAAAAATCCATAATAACTCCTACTGTTATAAATTTTCGTGCATTACTTAAATATCGGAAGACATTACGTTAACACGTTTGACTGCCATATCTGTCATAAGCATTTTTCTCTAACTTAAGTACATGAGATAAGGTAATCACACAAAGATTAGATTTTGTATACAATTTCCAATGTTTTTAAAACATTGGTCATTAGTGGTGTTTTTAAGCATGGTCCTGGTAACCTTTATTTGTTAATTCGTATATTTTTAGTTCCGAAAAATGTTGTAAAATGAGCATCAATGATTAAAGTAGTTAATTCACACATATTCAATTTCATTTTCTGAAAGATGCTGTAAAATGTCTATGAACATATTTAACTTTCTTAGTCTGATGAGCGCTTTTGTGCTTTCAGCTATCATCTCAATTAGTATAAATAACTGATATCTCTCACAAACTCAGACTTGAGGACATTAGATAGATCAGCCTCCATTTTTCTTGCATATGGTGAGAACAAAACACACATCCTAATATATACCATAAGTTGTATTTATTTTGCGGCTTTGCAAAACTAATTGTCATCAACATTTCCCTAAAACTCACATGACACTTTTAAGGAATAAAATGTCTTGCCTATGCACAATTTCAACAAGAGATATTTGGTCACGACTGTGTTATATTGATGAGGTGGTTCGGAACCGTAACGTCCGGGATATGGTTTCGGGACTAATTGTGAATGTAATCCATTATCTTTATGACATCTGTTTTGTATTATTTCAATATGGACTTATCATATTATTTGTGTTGCTCATCAAATTTGCACAAAAGTTATTTATATGATCCCCAATTTCATTATTGTACAAGGTTTCTGATAAAGGAACACTGCATTAACGTTTGTTGAAAGCTTTATCGATGTTTCCATTTGTGAGATTTCAGTAGTGATACAGCGAAAAAGTTGATGTGATCTGCGGTTACAAAATGCAATGTTTTGAGTTTCATTTGTAGCTAATGCAAGTAAGGTTTTTTTTTTGATGTTACAAACGAATCTCACATCACTTTTCCTAACGATTGTAACACAAGCCAGAAATTGTCTGATATGAAAGTAACTGCGGTTAAATATTTGCGAATAAGTATAAAATGCAGCGTATTCAGCTAAGTATTGAATGTAGTAAAAAATGTTGAAACAAATGACTTTCTAAACCTTCTGAGTCTCTACTTCATTATACATACATACATACCTACATATATATATATATATATATATATATATATATATATATATATATATATATATATATATATATATATATATATATATATATATGGTATTGCATATTTTAGAGGTTTCCCTGAGGACCGTATAACTGCACAAAGACATATCCAGAGGATTAAAATGATAAATGCATATATGTCTGCCTCAGTAGATTCAAATGTCTATCACTGGGTCATCATGCCGCAGACATGTAGCATGATGTACCACCCAATCATATTATCCTGACACCAGACCGACCAGTCCTAACACAAACCTCTTAATGCCAGACAGCTGTTAGTACCATGTTTTGAAAGTCTTTGGTATGACTCGACCGGGGATCGAACCCACAACCTCCCGCATATGAGGCGAACGCTCTTACCACTAGGACACTAGACCACAGGACCGGTTATGAAATATTATGTACATTAACTTTGTAAAAACGTTTCTCAAAGACGCATTGCTTGCAAAGGTTAATCAAAAATACTTACAATATTATTACAGTAGTTTAACCGTTGATATATATTTATGTTTATGAAACTCTCAAAGTCATAGACACTTTGACAAAGTTGTAAGTTGATCACCATATAACAAGTTATTTTAATATACTTGTTGGAGTGGAATGACATGTTGTGATACGTATATGTAATTTAATAGTTTGTATATTTGTTTTAAGTTTTTATTTTATTTTTGTTACATGTTATTGTAATAATTTTACAATTCTTTTACGTGTTATTGTAATAACTTTATTCACTGCATTTGACATATTTCAAAACATTTAATTCCTTTCGAAGCTGCTAAAATTCATTTTTAGCTTAGTTCCTGACCTTGGTTCAGAATTCGTAAATACAGAGTGAAAATGATTGGTCGTAATCAAGGTAATTCTTGGCTTGCGTTAGCTCTGTTTTAAGGAACGTTTTTGACTTTTTACGATTGGATTTTATAGTACAATTTATTTGGTAGGACCAATTTCGTCCATGGCTTATGGGTCAATTGTCTTATGAGCTTTCTGCACCATTATAATTAGGTGACCACGTGACCCCATCACATGATCGAAAATGGATTTTAAAACTAACGATTTAAGTGATTGAATTCAGTCTTATTTCATACCATTTGGAGGTTAAAGGTATTTTGTGTTGTGACTAGTTGAGTTGAAATTGTTATTTAAAAAAATTTATTTTTCCCGGAAATAGAAGTGCTCTTCATCAAATTCTTGGACAAAGAAATTTTTTGGAAATTTCTCGGAATTCTAAAGCCGGAAATATTATTTTTGATTCATAAAATTCAAAGAAATACTGTTGACACATCAGTACAACACTTCATTCATCTGACGTCATCGTCCTACCTCGTGAAACTTCGTCGAGATTACAACTTTGACTCATTTAGACCGATTTTGTGATAGGAATTATATTTTTTAACTCCAGTCCTACTATAATTTTACCTTGTTTTCTAGGAAAATTAATTAGTTTGCTAAATCTTACAAAGCTTTTTGGTTTCACTCTTTTTTGTTACTTTAAAACGAGATTAGACAACAAGCAACAGTTTGAAAACGGCTTATCAGTATAAGAATTCTCACCATCAGAAATATAGTAAAGAAAAGTACAATGTCACAGAAACCAAATTCCCTTCTCTCATTTCAGACAACATATTGTTAAGAAAGTCACAGGCTTGAAACATACACTGAAAATAATTTACAGAAGAAGATCTTCAATCATTAAAGCCAATGTTTTATATAGCAATGCGTAACGGCGAAAACAGTTTTTATCAAAACTTAAAATTATGTATGTGTTCTCCTTACATAATTTTTATTTTTAGCAAAGTCGTTACAAATATAAAACTGAATAAAAATGGAAAACATTTATCGCCTATTCCCGAAATGAATTAACTTGCAAATGATGGCTTGTTTTCAAGACAATGTATAAATTGCATGATGTTAATTTCACAATTCTGAAAAAGTGGACATAAAAAAATTATGTGAGTTAAAATTGGATGAGGTTGACAATGTCTCAGTAAGGCAAAGATTAATCTTTTCTGCTATTGATATACTAGAAATCATGCCAAGCAAATGATTAAGAATATTAGACGAGTAAGGTATATTAATTTGTTTAAATATATATGTTACGAGAGAATACAAAAAGGTTTGGGGAAGTACGCCAATGGATTTTGCAAAGTTGTCTTTTAAATGAAAATTGGATTTACAATATGTATTCGACAGGAGAGATGCACCTAGTACAAAACAAATGATAGTCGTACAAAATTTATAAGATTAATAAAGCCACAAACTTCGTCTAATTTATTATTATTATTATCTCTCTTTGTGTCTTGTTATCATTCCTTCTTTTCTCTCGTATACATTTCGTCAGGAAGTATAGGAAAGACTGTCTAAGTTAAGGAAGTGGAACAAGAAATAACTAAATATATTGCTCATAACAAGAAACTGTAAAATCCCAGCTGATTCATGAAACCCACACACACCACACACACACACACACACACACACACACACACATATATATATATATATATATATATATATATATATATATATATATATATATATATATATATATATATATATATATATATATATCACCATGGGATTGAGACAATATTTTTGTTAACATTTCGATCGTGCTAGTATGAGATGGTATTAACTCTATCACAACCAGGTTTTTTCTTTATAACTTTATGCGTGTAATGATCACATTGCTTAATAAACTAGTCAAATAAAATCACCCAATATCCTTCATATTCTATCAAATATATTATCCTGTAGTTGCAGATGTGCCTGCATGTTGGCCAAGGATCGCCACCAAAAATTGTAAGAAAATACTCTAAAATTAAATAATGACTACATTTGGATTACTGACCTGGAATAAGTAATTATAACCTAAGTCTCAATGGGCTCAGAACACCATTTCATAGTCCGCTTGTTACATAACTATATTTTTCCGAGCTAAATGCAGACCATATTTTCCAATCACACTGTTATTAATTGGCATAACAGCGCCAGCATAGGCCATGATACACATCAATGTCTTACCCAGTATAACGACATTTTTTCTTCTTCTGACAACCTACAGAATGGGTGGTTAAATTTGTGAGTCAATCAGAAACCAAATTTGTGACAATGTCTAGAACTGTAATTTATACTTGTTTTACCACAACATTGTTTTCACAACCACATAGCATACATATCAAAATAATTAATGATTCATCCTAATTCATTTTACGGTCAAAGTCAATTCATATCATAAATATATATCACAAAATATGCACAACCAAAACATCTAGATTTATATATAAACTATTAGGCCAGATACTGATTCAGAATCATTTTATCCAGGTATGCCCCAAATACAATGTACAGCGTTATCATGCTCTCCTGTACATAGAGTAGATGAGATCCAAAATTGTTTATGACAAAAACACAATTCAATCAGATGAATGTGTTAATTGCTGCTGGAAAGAGGTTAATTATAACTTTTTCTCCTCAATGATTTCCTATAAGTGAATTTTTATATGTGTTTGAAAAATGTAGTAACTGCAAATGTTATCTGCCAATATTTTGTATTTAAAAACTTGACTTGGCTATCTATCGTGTTAACTATATTCATCGCTTCCTCATTTGTACATATATTTGAATCAAATGTCATGAATATAACACAAGGTTTCTGTGACTATGTTTGTGAAACAATGTGCATTTTACATTATGAAATGAAGAGTTCTCGTGCATATATTCGGTTGTGTATAGGCATCTCATGAAATGTACAATAATTCTAATGTCAAACTACTAAAAACTGGATTAGAGATGTCTATTCTGGCGTAGTAACAAGCAAAGTCGTTCCCTTTATTGGCGTGGTCCCTCTCAGAATTTACACCATCTGATGGACCCCTTAGATCTAAACTTTATTTGGGTTTTATGTGTTCTTGTTTATTCCATGTGAATGTGTAGTTTGTGTTACTTTTTATATAAATTTTGATTTTATTAATTTTGAAATAAGGTATCACGCCATCCAAATGTATTGTTTCTCTCAGCTGCTGATTTTTTAAAATAGTTTTCTTTCTTTATAACTTTTATTAGTGAGAAATAGAGTTTTCGTTTGTATCCTAATCTATATTATAATAGAAAGTTCCTTTGTACACGAGTTCAAAACATAGTTCCTAATGACGCCCATGCACAATATGTGCTGTCAAAAGCGAACACCATGTGCACGTGCTGCACGTTCCACTATTTCACATTTGTTCACATTTTATATTTTGTTGAGTTCTAAATATTAAGAAATTTTATTTCGTAGAAGATAAATAATTAAAGTGTAGCTCTACCAGCATACGAGATTTGTATCATACATATTTCTTCAGTCTATATTTTACTTTTCAAAAAGTGTTGAATTATTATATCGAAATCCTATTTGACAATTATTCAAAATTTAATATGCAGAATAACTGTAGTTACGAATAATATGATAAATTACTTAACGTTTAGTTCCAACATTAGTTTAACAGTTTTAGGCTTTGTAAAAGATTTAGACATATATATTTATTCCAAATATATATTAAAATTTAAATGTATGTATCAGGTATTGTATAAATAGTAAAGTCAAGGTGAGCAAAATCTAGATATTGTCTGTTAGTCTGTAATCGAAGATTTTTAATAGATATTCACTTAGTTTAAACATTATTTCTCAGTTTCTGAAGACAATATCAAGTCTCTAGATTGAAATAGTTATCTTTCACATCATATTACACAATACTTGAAAAGTTGAAATGCTTGTAAGACTTACGGTGGTTACAAATACGTTCTAAGTCATTTTTATGTTATATGTTGTCCATATTCTGATATATTGTCCAGTAATTTCGATATTTTTTACCCACAACATTTCCTCACGAAGTATGGACAAACCTTAGTGGTATTCCTTTCTCCTAGATAGTGGCAATCCTCATGGCTTACATAATTACTTCTTTGCTTCAATCAGTAAAAGGGTACTGTCTTGTACGTTCATAATATTTTGATGCAAAGTCAAGAACGACATTCCCTGCCAAGCAATAGTAAACAGTGTAGACAGAAGAGCAAAGCTTTTTTGATTTTTTGGCTACTGATACATTTCACAGCCCCCCCCCAACACACACACCAATTTGTCATGATATAATTCGAGAAGACTATAATATGCGTGCGAACTCGTGAACATGAACTGCAAAGATTAATAACAGGCAATCATGCAGGAGGAAATTAATGTAGTTTTAAAGACTTCACCTATATCAATATCCAAAACTCAGGAATTACATGTCGTTTCTGAAGAGTATACCACGAGCGACAACGTATTAAAAATTAGTGCAACAATGTCAATCGCAAGGTGTCAGTAGATAATTTTAAATAAATACTGTGTTTGCTCTCATTTT